TTTCTTTTTGTACATACCTAATTATATTTGTCTTTTACTTGTTTGATTTTTACTTTCTACTCTTCAATTGTATATATATATATATATATATATATATACATATTTCTGTGTAAAAAACAGAGAAATACTCTCAACATAATACCGAGTTAGCAAACCCTTCGCATACAGAATATTATAATCATAACTTGCTTAAATACGGTCGTTTAAAATTATTATATATATTTTTTTTTAATTTCAATTAAAATGTTCTTTTCTTTTTTAACTAGATTAAATTTTAATGCCAAATAACTCTTCTCTCCTTGTTATCTGAAACGGATAAAAGTCGAAAAAAGAGACAAACAAAGAAAACAACAAAAACACAATGATTTTAGGAGTGATTTAAACATGCACGTTTTCTTTACATATATATATATATATATATATATAAATATATTTATATATATAAGTATGTATAATTAGAAATAATAATTGTTTTAATATTTATATAAAACGGATAAAATAACATATTAGTAACTTTTTTGTTTATTTTTTTTCATTTTGTAGCTCTCCCAGTCGGTCAGCTATTAACATTGACTTAATCCTATCTCCGTTTTGAAATGTATTTGAATACTTTATTTCTTAATAAGGTTTCTTAAGATAAACCCGACCAAGTATTACAAAAATAATATATTAGTAATCAAAGATACTTTAAACAGATTTTGAGTAATAAATTTTCTAAAAGTCGCCGTCAAAAGTGAACGACAGTACACCGGGAAGGACCCTTTGTAGAAAGCATCAACCACGAGTGCGTGTCAATTACTTTACGAGAAATAAATAAAGTACTATTACTAAAGTGCACCCAACTCTTTTTTCGCAAGCGTTTCCATTACTCAATTTTGAAATAACACGGTTTTAAAAAAACTCTTTTTTTATTGTAATTTTTTGACACTATCCTACAGTTGGGGGAATATCGTAATCAGAAGTCAGTCGGTTTATACTCACACATGTGTTAGTTACTTGGTCTACTGCGTCGAGTACCCGAATTTTAAGATCAGTCTCCACATGAATCAAAACTGATAGCTCTGCTAGACATATGTACTGATGATAGCATTTTGGTCCAGTCCGCACTAAACGTGCAGTTTCGAAATTGATTTTCACATGCTTTACTTATGGACTGAATTTTAACTGCAAAATAACCGTAATTGGTTTTTTTTCTTGTAAACATGTGCTATTGATTTCACTATTGTTTTTTTAAACGATTTTTTGGGAAAGTATTTAGAGTTTCTTCATCTTAAAGGAATTTTTAAAGTTGTGGAACATAACCGCAAATTTTTGCAACGACTTTTTCTACTCCGTTTTCTGAGGAACGTATGCACCGTGTAAAAAAAGGATGTGTTCATTTTACTTTAGGAGAAATAATCAAAAATTTTTTATAAAGTCTTCTAAGGAACGCATCTACCCTGTAAAAAAAGGTTTGGGTTTACTTTAGACAAAACAAACAAAGTACTTTTGATATTTTTCCAAAATAGATGTGCGGAAAATTTTTTCAAGCCCAATATCTGGAAAAAAGCTTCGGGAAATTACCGAATAAATGCATTTTTTTTTTTTATTTTCAAATTTTCTGCTCTTTTATAAAAAAACGTGCCTACTACTTTTTGTCCATACTTGTCCGCTCAAAAATTGATCTAAAAACCCTATTGGTATTAGCCGAGTCTGCTAAGCTGGCTGGGAGAATTGCTAGTATATTATAATTAGACTTATTCATTATTCTCAATTAAGGGATTTACGTAAGCACATCATCCAGTTTTATCCGTTTCATATAAGTTTTCGTCGATAAAGTAAATTTCACCGTTTAATAGGGCCATTCAATTGGAATCTTTCAATTAGTTTTTACAGCTACAAGTTATCTGATCAAGGGAACGAACGCTTCTACCTCTACATATTAAAATAAATAATAACATATAGCTTTTGCTTTGTTTTTTTCTTTTTTTTTTTTCGTATTGCTACTATCGTGTAGACGTGTACGTGGAATTTCTGTGGAATGTGTGTATAGATGTGCATTATTGTGAACTATTTACGGTAATTGCTGTTGTTGTTGTTGTTATTATTATTATTATTCTTATTGTTGTTGTTGGTGTGGTTGCTCTGTTTTCAATAGATTTTTTTTGAATTTTTTTTTTGTTTGTTTTGTTTTTAAATTAATTTAATGGAAGGCAA